AGTGTGTAATTTTTTAGTTATTAGCGCATAAAGTATGTTTTCTTTCATAACCTGTTTGACCTCAAGTCGACGAAATGAGACATATATTCAATGACAGTTCTACAATTAATGTAAGGTTGTGTGGATACGAACCCTATGCCTTGCGTTATCTTGAAAATAGTACGTTTTTGGGCTTAAAAACTAGTGTTGTCCAAATGCGAGACCGAGACGAGTCTTGGTCTTGCAAACTCAGTCTTGGTCATGGTCTTGGTCTTGCGCAAGTGTCTCGCAACAGTCTTGCAGTTACTTATTAGCTTATTACTAAAGAGATATTACTGTAATTTTGAGGAGTTAAATGCAAAAGTATATTGGTTACACCAATTATTAACATACAGCAACTAAGATTGTCAAGTATAAGTAACTATTTTACATTAATTTTTATTTTAAAAAATCTATTTTTTTTACCAGTCCTGGTCATGGTCTTGCAACAGTTAGGCGGTCTTGGTCTTGGTCTTACAAAGTATAAGACCAAGACCGATTTTGGGCAACACTATTAAAAACGCAGTATCCGATAGTTCCAGAGGAACTATCCGGGTCTTGCTGTACGCATCAAAATCTTCAAGATCCAATTTGTCCCATATTGATCTACAGACCTACCACCGTTCAGGTATTGAAGCCTAGCAAAATGTTTGTATCGACTTTATTTATTTTAGCAAGAAAAACAAAAGTAGAGAATACAATTCGCTAACCCCCCGTGAAATTCTGGATTCAACGGTACCCCATTCATGGTATTCATGGTATTGACAGGAGCTTATATTTTGTACAAAACCGATTTCGAGGCTTACTGTAATGATATATGTACGGATTAATTTCTGTGGGGTAATGCTCTAACAATAGGCTTTAGCCTTGATTGCAGAAACATATACTCTTTCAGCCTCTGGAGATTCAAATTACGCTTTGTCCCCTATAATATCAATTGTCAAGTAATATAATGTAATATTTATTAAATTATGATGTAGGTAAAACATTACGGATATACAAATAATCTCATATATTTATTTTACTGTTTGTATCTCTCCTTAAAATTTTATTCTTCACTCTATAAAAATCTATTAATAAATTGAAAAGAAATATTAATTAAAAAAAATTGTATTATATAAATTGAATGACAGTTACGAAACAGTTTTTATGTGCTCTGCATTATTTTCTCAGCCAATGATTCGGTGGACAGAAACTGTCTTAAGGAAATCATGTCTGAACTGGGGGTTCCCGATAAATTGCTGAGATTGACATGGCCGTCTACAAATGACCGTAAATGTCGAGTCCTAATACAAGGAGAAGTATCTGAAACCTCCAAAGTTCGAAGGGGCTTAAGGCAAAAGGATGGACTATCGCCGATGTTCAAGTTAGCACTGAAGAAGGTGATTAGAACATCACGAGAAAATAGAGGGATCCACGTTGGAATGAATCGTAAAATCCTTGGATACGCAGATGATGTAGCTGTCCTTGGAAATAATCAAGAGGACATTGAGAAACTCGCTACAACACTGGTAAGAGAGACAGTGCAGATCAGCCAACAAGTAAATGAATACAAAACAAAATATATGATGATAAGCAAAAAATTTCACACGAATAACAGGATCTGCATAGAAGGAAAATCATTTCCGAGGGTAGACAAATTAAGAATGATCACGGTCAGAAATAGATTAGGGTATAATTACCGCAAACAGAGCTTTCTTCTCTCTTTCAAAAGTATTAAAATCCCGAAAAAATTTAGAACTATCAAATTAAGTCTGATATATTTGGCTGTGAGACCTGAACACTAACCAGCACCCTAGAAAAGAAGTATTGAAAGACTTGATAGAAAAATCCTCACAATAACTAGAGCGATCTGGGAACTTATGGAGAAGAAAATCGAGACCTGTTTACAGAAACTGGTCAATCAATATCCCATGATATGAAGGTACTAAGGTTAAGTTGGGCTCGTAGCAATCCATCTGGAATATTCTACTTAAAAATGAATGATTTACTGAAGGCAAAATACCATGTGGCAGTCCAAAAAGCAAATTGATAGATAGAATTAACAATATGGTTGCGTGCAGATAAATGGAAAGAAATAGCCCAAGACAGGCAGAGATGGATCAGGCTTATTAAGGCGGCAAAAGACTTACATAGTCTGTAATACCAACAGAAAAATATATAGATGGGTAATTATGTATAACAAATCTTTTGAAATATGTACAATTTTGCTTCCTCACTACCGAAGATAGGGAAGCATTGTGTTCGAGCGAGAGATTAAAAAAATTTTTTTGCTCAGAATCGAAAACTTTCACTCGCGTTTTACGTTTCAGTTATCAAGGATCAAATTTGGTTCGGTGCCTGTCTGTCTGTCTGTCTGTCTGTAGTCAAATCGATGTGACGGGCATATCACCTAGTACCGTTCATCCAATCTTCATGAAATTTTCAGGGATTATGCTGATTGGTGCCTAGATGGTCCCATATCAATTTTATCAAATTCCATCCAGCACTTCCGCTTACGCACGGGCAAACGTATATTTTTAGGTATGCCAATATTTCAGAAACGGCTCGTTCGATTTGGCTCAAAGTTAGATAAAAGGTAGACTTTGGTGAAAAAATAATGTAGTGTCAATTTCATTGAATTGTGTCCAACAATTTCTCTTATATATGCACTACTAGTCCGCCGTCCGCCGTCCGCGCATTTTTTCTGAAACTACTAGACCGGTTTTTTTCGAATTTGGATATAAAATCAGAGGTCACCCGAGGATCATCCTCCTTCAACGACATTACTATTCGCCTTCTAGTTTCAAAATGGCGGCCGAAAAACCTGCGTTGCTATAGACTGTAGCGCCTAAACGAATGTACCGATTTTGATGAAACTTCGCTAAAGTCATTTTCTCTACACCCTATAAATTTATCTATACTACATACTTCAACGAAAAGAAGCTCAAAAAAAGTTACGAGAGATGGTAAAATTAAATTCCGAATAACTCAAGAAGTATACACATTTATGTCAAGATTGTATGTCAATATGGTTTTTTAGAAGTTTGCGGAATTTCCTAAAAAACAAAAAAAAATTCGTCAAAATCGGACAATTAGGAGCAAAGATATGGTCTCTAGTTTTTTTTAGACGTGCTATTGCAAAAGGTTTATCTTTTTTTTTTATTTCTAAATGTGTTACTGAAGTAATGCTATTTTTTTTTTAGCATATTACTAATGATTAAAAAAAATTTTAGTCCAATAATTAGAATCACCTTTTATTAATTTTTCTTTATAACTAATAATTTAATGTTACTTTATATGTATAATTGTTTGGAAATAATATACCAAAGAGAAATAATTTGCAGTGGTTTTTTTCAAATTAATTATCGTTATATATATATATATATATATATATATATATATATATATATATATATATATATAAATCTTTCGTGCTGAAGCCCCTCCTCCAAAATTAAATCTTGATTCGGTAATGTATATACTATTATTAGAGCATAAGTTCCTATTCAACTTTAATTCTATGTGTATTAAAGGTGATATTTTGTAGTCTGCAACTGATATAAGTAATCTGCTACTATGGAAAATAGCAGATGAAAATAAAATATGAAATTATTCTAATAAAGCATAAAGAAATATTGAGTTTTTATGCACTCTTGTAAAACAATAAATGAATTTATACATAAGACCTTTTGAATTAACAGTATTGAAATTCATGTTCAGTATGCATTTTTTTTTTTTTTTTTTACTAAGCATAATAAAGTGTGGAATATTCAAATACGACCCTCTGTTGTTGAATGTTGAAGGGTAACTGTAATCGGCTGTACCGATTTTGCTTCTCTCAGAGATTTTATTCTCATACGAAAAATTGTATACCTTGTAATATGCAACGGAAACGGTGAGGAAGCTATACTGACCTTACTTGGCAGACTTTTTTGATATGATTGTAAATTGGAAAATTTCTTATAGAATTGAAAATAGCTCGATGAGCCGAAAAGTCGTAATTAACATACTGTAGTCATTAAGTTGACCAAATTAAAAATTAGTGAAAATAAATAAATTGGAAAAGAAAAATATATTATTTTATTTTTTTCATAAAAATGTTTTCATATGAATGATTTATTGGAATTGTATATATTTTATTTACTGTGCCAAGTAAATATTGGGATGACATTGACAGTTCATCACAAAATGTCATTAAGTTACATAACATTACCTCAAATAATTAAGATCTTTGATGATTTTTCCCTATGGAAATCAGAAAATTGTGCACTTAGTGTAACTATATATGATAAATAAAAGTATATTTGTCGTTTTCATGCACTTTCGGTTTTTTTGTATGGATAAATAAGATCGACATTGACACAAACATATTTACACAAGTTAACTTACATCAAAAATGCACTTAGTGACTTCTTGAAATAAACCGACGATGTGTTGTTCCTTTGTAAATGAAATTTCATATATAATGTAATTCACTTTTTCTTTTTATGTTATTTTATTAGGAATGTTTTTATGTTTCATTAGAATAACTAATTGTTTTATAAAATGCTTAAGACATTTACATTAAAATAATAAAAAACATAGACCATTTTTTGAAAAAAATACACTTTCATACAATCGTATTTTTATCAGAATCAAGCTATTTGAAAGTGTATCGTTCAAGCTACTTTCTTAAATATATCTAAAATTAATTAATTATAAACTCAAAGTATAGTTGAACAAATTAATAAAGATCTTTTTATTATGCATGCAATCTTTTATTATAGAAATAAGAATCAACGTACAAATTAATGCTAGCGATTGAAAGACTATAAAATAGCATAATCTTCCATCCTAAGCTCTTCCAGGTATCTCTTTTAAGGTATTTGCATATAGTCATGCTCCGTAGATTTTGGTTCAGCAAGACCATAAAATGACAAGTATAAAATGACGAATGGATGAGGTTGTAAACTTTAGAACAAGACGTGATATGGAGGATAAATGCCTTCTCTTTTTTATAGACTTGACCTGGACCGAAGACGTCGTTACCAAAGGAAAAGATGTCAACGTCACCGTGGCCATTGCAATCTGCGCTGATGAGAGGATGGACAACGCATCTTGTACGGTGAGTTAACAAAATTGCTTGTATAATATAAATAATAAGAGCATTAATAAATAAAATAAAATGAATTTTATAATTAGTAATTTATTGAAAATTTCTGAGCCAATCCTTTAGATTTTCACTAATGTGAAATAATGGTTAAAAATATTTTATTGAGTAATTTAATATTCAGTCACAATAAGGGCTACCTTTTCAGTGAGTAAATAGTTCATTGACTCCTATAGTATTGAAAACAAAAAATAAATACTATAAATGAACATAAATCTGAAAAAGAGGTGTGTAGGTTGATGAGATGTCTCTCTCTCTCTCTCTCTCTCTCTCTCTCTCTATATATATATATATATATATATATATATATATATATATATAAATATGCCATAATATAAATAATATAAGTATATAATTATTTTCTTTTTTTCATTTTGGATACATGAGTTCTTGTTTTTCTGTCCTGATAGTGGCGAAACGTTCGCAGGTTAACAGTCCACTATTAACTTTATGTTACAGACTCGTTGCTTTATGATTTGGATTTTTCAATTTATATCTGTAAGATAGGTAAATTAAAATAACGACTAAACACAGTTGTAGCTATATATACTATTTACAATAATTTAAAGGAGCACCAAATCACAATTGTCCCTGTACCTCTAAAAGGAAAAGCAGGACTCCAGCAGATCCCTGCACTACTCTCTCAACTCATATTAAAAGCATGTGTGGATTGAGCAAAAACGCTACAGCCACTTACACACATGACTTGAGTGGAGAATTAGGCAATTGCCAGAACCCCGATATATTTGTACATGTCGCTAGGCTACAGCCGTTCAATCTTTGAGGAGAAATGTAGAGAGGAGAGGAGCTAAATAGGGACTATGTATGTGGTACTACTGTAAGGTAAAATTTGTATATTATTTCTGGAATAAGGTCTATGACAATCGGATATTAAATATGATAAATAAGTGTTGCCCAAAATTGGTCTTGATCTTGCATTTTGCAATACCAAGACCAGGACTGGTAAAAATGATCGATTTTATAAATAAAAATTAATGCAAAATAGTTACTGATACTTGGTAATCTTAGTGACTATATGTAAATAATTGTTATAACCAATATACTTTTGCATTTAACTCCTCTATTTTTTCGTTCGGATTTAGTTAGGCTTCTCCTATCTAAAAAATTACAGTAATATATCTATAATAATAAGCTAATAAGTAACTGCAAGACAGTAGCGAGATTCTTGTGCAAGACCAAGACCATGACCAAGATTGAGTTTGTAAGACTATGACTCCTCTCAGTCTCGCATTTGGGCAACACTAATAATAAGGAATCTTTTAAAATTAAAATGGGTTATTCATTTGGAATTTCATAAAATTGTTATAAGACCATCTAGACACCACTTCAGTACTTGTATATTTTATTAAAATTAATAGTAGTATGAGTTCAGCCACTCAAATGGATTTGAACTCTGACAAACACGGAACCTAATCTTGATTTCTAATGTAAGACCCGATTGAAGATAACATTTTTTTTTTTACTTTTTTTGGATGTAAAGCTATCCTACGAAAACAACTTTAATAAAAAATTAAATATTTAATTATGCATTCATAAGCATAGAAATGTATATGAGTTTCCACCATTTTAATACTTTTAATTCTTTCTATCTAGAGAGCAACTCAACCGATACAGCAGTCATCGCAACTACATACATCATCCATCAGAGCTGAGATAATATAGCACGGGTTAAATAATTCCTTATTGATCCCCAACCCTGACAATAAATCATGCGGTATAGGTAGTGTGTGTTTCACATCTGGCATCCGCGTCCTCCAAACACCAGCCCATTACCGTTCCGCGGTTCTGGGATATATCAATCAGTCCACGGACTGAACTGAGGACATTTCTGGAATCAACTAACCAGAAATCTGTCAGGGGTTATTTAGTCGGAACCTGGGGTACTCTACATCTTGGAACTCGTGGTAGTAGCTTCAAGCCAAATGTAATCACTAGACTTACAGATAGGTAATAATATATCCGTAAACAACTCATAATAAATATATTTAATTATTGTTGAAACTCAGTTATTTTAGCACTAAAACAACTTACGTTACTAGTCTTTTGGAAAAATAATTATTTATGAGGATAATAAAAAAAATAAAGAAAATTGAATATATATATTATTTTATTCATTGATATTTACAATTGTATTTTTAAAAAATACAACTATTAAATGTGCATACAGTAATAATACAATCAAATGAAAACGCTTGTTGAGAAAGTACCCATTGGTAGCACTCTATTAATATATTTAAACAAGTAGATCACGAGGCCTTCTTCTTTTCAGACGCCTCGGAGGGTTATCAGGGATCGAGGAGGAAGCAACGTTTGAAACGAGAGGGTTCGTATGGTTTTGGAGTTTGTAGTGGAAGGATAGGTATCTGGATTGGGCCAAATCGGAAACATATGGAACATTAAGGTCTCTATGGATGATTTTATTTGTGACAAAATAAGACGTGTTGAGGATTTTACGAAGGATTTTGGATTGTAAGGATTTGACACAAGAGGAATTCGATGGTTTAGTGGAGCCCCAAAGCTGAATTCCGTAAGTCCAAATAGGTCTTATTATTGTCATTTGTATGACAAAATATATATATAAAAAAAATTGAACGATAATGATGAAGTAAATGATGCATTACTTTTCAACCTTATACTCTTCTACTTCAATTCACTCCATCTTCTAACAATCATTTGAATTCTTTCCTATAGGATATTGAATAGAAGTAGGTTTTCGGCAAGTTCTTTAGACAAATTTTTAACGCTTCAATTACCTCTTTTTCTGATCGATGATTCTCTCGCAACTCCTCTTTTAATGGGCCAAATATATTAAAATAGCTTGAAGTCAATTCTGGAATATACGGTGGGTGATCCAGCAGCTGAAACCCGAGATTTTGAAGGCACGGGAATGTATTTTTCGCCGTGTGAGGACTATGAAGAATTATCCTGAAGCAAAATCACACTTTTTAATATTTTACCGCGTCTTTTGGATTTGATTTTTGACTTTGTTGAGGGCCACAAGGTAGTCCACGGTAGCCTCCACAATTTTGTTTGACCTTTAGGTTCACAGAGAACAAAAATTGGATCTTCCATATCCCAGATTATCATCTATATAATTTTATTTTCAGACAGCTGAGTTTCGAACTTTTTTGCTATGAGAGGTAAAGTTTATTCCCACACCAAATTTTGTTGTTTCCTCTTAGGTTCGAAATGATGGACCCGTTTGACGTTTATGAATTGAGCCCCTTTCTTCATTCCAAATCCTTCTGAGAAAATTCAAACGATTCTCTATGTCGATACTCATCAATTGAAATGGAACCCACCGAGAACTAATTTTTAGAAAATTCAAAAAAACATGGATGATTGAAAATGCTGAACCATTCTCACATTCAATTCACTTTCAATGTTATCAACTGTAATTCATCGATTATCAATAATCGTTTGTTTAAATGTTTCAATATTGTCATTAGTCTTCGAAGTGGAAGGCCTACCAGGCCGCTGTTCATCACGCTCAGAAATTCTACCACTTTAAAGAGATCAATCCTTTTGTAGATCTTGTTTCACACAATCACCTCTCTCCTAATTGCTATTGCATTCGGTGAATAATCTTTGTTGGTTTCACAGTTTCTAAATTGAGGAAACGTATAACTGCTCGCATTTCTTCCTTGGTAGATTCAGTCATAGGAGAATAAATTTTTAACAGACTTTTAACATAAACATAAGGAGCTAACAATGATACAATACTTTCAGTGAATAGGCTGATAGCTTATTACTTATAGAAGAACATTCAGTGCTGCCATATACTCGATTCGGAGGGAAATTCTAATTTCCCTTTACTTTTTTACTTGCCCTCGTATCAAGAACTAAATCGTCACATGGATGTATCGTACATAATTGATAAATTCATTATTACCGAATATTAGTTGAATTTTCAAAATAAAAGGTAAATTATTATATCTTAATTACAGGATAATTTATTTTATTTATTGTACATAGAGTGTGAATGTGATCTGTGAACTCTATTATAAATGTCCTAGAGACAGATTGAAATATTTTCAATAAATAAGCTTAAAAAAAAAAAAAGAAAATACAGGAGGTACTTTGATCATATCAATGGGCTCCGAACCCTTTGCAATTTAAAAGGAAGAAGGATATTGAAGGTTTTTTTTTTTTCTTTTCTGTGCTATCTGCCCAGTATTAAGGGATCCATTGCAAGGTGGTTACAAAAAAAATAGTTGGAAAAATTGTTGGATCTCTGAATTTATTTATATTATATTTATGATCACGGGGCTAGATGAAATGCGTAAATGATGAAAAGCACCTTTCATAGCTTTTGTTCAGAATTTTTATTTTTTTTGGTAGTGATTCTAAAAACCGTTGTGGACTTTATCCCACCTGCTTTCACAATTTTCCATCTAGGTAAATTCATTCAAGCTGCATAACAAAGTTCAAACCAGGGTCTTACTCAAGCAGCAACTCGATCTTTCTTCTAGGTTGCTCAATGCATTCTAATAAATCCTTGCTATAAACTAAAAACACAACTTAAGTAGTAAAACCGTAAATTGCATAATGTTTATTACTTCAAGCTTCGTGTGGAATTGACTTATTCCAAGAGCTCATCTAAAAATAGATTGTCATTTAAATAGAATTAATTTAAGAGATAAGATAATCTTAATTGTAACGAAACACCGTTTGGAATATATCTTTATTCAGAGATCTTGCTTTAGAGTCTGGCTATAAATTTTATTACTCATTTAAAATGGCTGAAATCCGAATCCCGGAACTAATTTAATGTGTATTATACGTATTTCAATCTTGTTGATAGGGATTTATTTTACATTATTCGTATGTGGTACAAACCCCTTTTTATCGATTTTGTTGTGATCAAATTATCTTACGGTCCAAATAGAATTCAAATGGTATTTACGAGTTTTTAGTACCTAATTAAATACACA